ATTCACCTGCTATTCACAGGACAATTGGATGGAACTGTTGCCTGTAGCCCAACTGGCGTTAAATTCAAGACCCAGCTCAGCAATCGGGGGACTGAGTCCATTCTTCGGCACAGATACGATTTGGAACCTCTGGCAGAACCCACGTGTTATGGCTAGGCATCCCTGAAGAAGGGCCGAGTAGAAGTTTCAAGGAGAAGGTCCTCCGAAGAGTTCAAGGAGAAGTTTAAAGGAGAAAGGTGAAGTTGAAGGTTCCCTGAATAGTTCAAGGAGATGTTTGAAGGAGAAGGTTCTCTGGGGAGCTCTAAAAAATTGGAGTTAAGGCGGCTAGAGTCATGATCGAATCTTGTTCCGGTCTCGGGTGGATTTAAGTGATTATTTTTGTGTACTTAAAGAAGCTGGAGAACTACTTCGTGGTAGCTTCAGCTTCTCAATCTTATACTCTCATAGTCTTACATCTCTAGAAACGTCATATTACTTGTTGAAAATGGAGACACGGAGTATTGTTCTTACGGGTTGACCGTGTTGTGGCTTAGGCAGGCATCTAAACAAGATCGAAGGTGGTTACATTATTTCTAAATCATGGGAATGGCGTATTAGGAAACATCTGATATGACGTGCAAGTCGGAATGAGGTGATGTTTGAGTGAGAATGAAATGACGTCTGGCTTAAGGACTACCTAATAGTGAAGGAAGGGAAGAGTTAGAAAGGATTATAAGGAACCTTCTTTGGTAGCAATAGTTTTCTTTCTTCTTTAATTAGTTCAATACATCTAATTTCATCACAGCCAGCTTGATTCTATCACAGTTGTGGACGCACGGGCCCTCTATTTCGTCAAGGTTCCCGACACGATCTCGTGTGTATTTAAGAGGTTGGAGTAGGTAATATAGTAGCGCTTCAGGCTACCTATTGGACATATAAGCGGCTGTATGGCGTGGGCGCAAGGAGGTTATTGGGGGTTTTCTATGCCTAGATGGCGCCACACTTGCTTATGCTGTGGCTTAGGCTACGTGTTATTTACACTTGTACTTATAGCGCACATTTCCCACACTTCTAGCTTTAATCCGAACATGACACTCTTTTAGTCAACTTCTACTTTCATTCCATAAATATTGAGCCCATTTCATTGCGCGATATTTCCAACATACTCTGATGCAGACTTTTCAGGGGACCCGCAACAAATAGATCAACGTCTCGATCACTTATCAGGTTGTCATTGGAACCGATAAGCTGGAGATCTCACCTACAAAGAGATGTTGTACTGTCCACCACAGAAGTAGAGTATCTCGCAGCAACTGAAACGTGCCGTCAGCTGCAATGGGTTAAATCACTTTTGGAGGAACTGTGCTTGCAGGACAGCGTTGAGGGGTCAGTCTGCACTGACTTGTATGTTGACAACTAGTCTACAATATCATTGATTAAAAACCACGACAACCATGAGGGGTCGAAGCACATTGCCCTGAGGAATCATTACTGCCGGCAGCAGTTTAAGAGAGGAGCAATAGGAGTGATATATGTGGAATCTAACGAGCAACTGGCCGAAAGTTTGACCAAGGTAAATTCCTCACTCTATCTCTAGATATTCCGTGCAAAGGTGACGATTGTAATCGTCAGGGGGAGTGTTATAATCTGCCAAGAGATCCCAGATCTGTGCAGATTTATGCATGCCAATATTTCATGCAAGTCCAAGGACATGGACTTGAGGGCAACCCATAATTAGGGCATCATAGATTTGTAATGGAATGGTATGGGATCAAATAGTATGGAATGAAATGAAATGGAATGGAGCGTACTGGATATTGTAGGAACTGTGACATGGCTATCCAGGACATGTATATTATGAGATGTATCTCCTAGCAGTAGGAGTAAGAATAAGTCATCTCAATACAAGTGTCCTCAGTTAACACAAGTCTTTTCGATATCTACGTTAGTGTCCTACAAACACATATAGCATCCTTCCAAGGTAGAGATTCAACCCGCATGTGCTCATAATCTTAACAAAATGTTCCTATGGTGGGTAATTTGGAAGGAGGGTCGAGTGTTCTGTGCGAGCAAATATACCTCATAGGGATGTTTGCGATTGAATTCCAGCGGATGAGTGTCTTCAGGGCCAAAAGAGCCAGTCAAGAAGGAGACATAGCACTGATTATGTGTCATGGCAAGATAGCTGAATAGACGTGAAATGATTCGAAAAAGAGCCTGAACTCCCATGTAGCAAAGTGTCGCAGCACCTACGAAGTCACGCCATTCACCTGCGCATGCATGCCTGGGCAGCCTCAGGAATAGCTTTTTAAACTTTGCAATCCCAGTACTGCTGAAGAGATGGTATAAAAGACCCGGATGGAAAATTGTAGATGTCAGGTGACGGGTCTAATGGCTCAAACAGCAGGTCCTTGAGCAAGAGAGTCGGCATCATCATTGACTCTTGTCTGGATATTTGTGGCGAGAGCAGTGTAATACTCAGTCCAGTAAAGTTGGGTTCCAGATCCAGAAGCCTTAACTGTAGCATAGGTACAGTTGACAGCATGACCTATCCCAGGAGGCACAATGCCTAGTACGACGAAACGAAGAAACGACTATTGGGAAACTACAGTTTCTCAGCTTTCGAACATTAATTTCCGGGCTGCCTTTGCCGAGGATATTGAGTGGGCATCTGTAGAGCAAGCTGTGCTAATTGGTAAAAATGAGCTTCGCAGCTAGTGCACACCAACATGGCCATCCCCGGAAACCAGACAGGAATAAGAGTAACTTGTGAGCTACTAATAGATATTGCAAAACTAGAGACTAAAACCAACGACCTACGCCGAACAAAGTACTGTAGTGTCGGATGGTGGGTGTGTTTAGTGTATACAACACTTTCATGGATCATTGTGGCATAGCGTTTTATGAAACGCCATGCGGACGGCTAAGTTAAACACAATTAATAGTTCAATGCACTTCTAAAACCAGCAAGGAAGACTGATAAGAATGGGCTGGTTTCATTAGGTGATGTGTAGCAGATTGTTGGGCATAGGGGCTGTGTGCAACGTGCTATTTGGTAATTTTATGTATATAAATACTCGGCGTGAAGAAGCATTATTCTTCACGCAACGTCTTCTTCAATTACCTTAACAATACATTTGTTTACCCATCTCTTCTTCGGGAAGACCATTTATCTCTTTCCAGCTCTTCATCAGCAAGACCCACGTGTAGCCTCTATTGCTACTATCTACCTATTTGTCTCTTCCTAGAGAAGACCAGTCATCCCTTCGACCCACTCATCACCTTCATCTACCACCAAGATCTTCGTTAGACCACATACGCACCCTGTGGAACACTGTCCTAACCTCGCCTTGAGAAGCACTATTCGTGTGTGCAAGCAAGTGCTATTATTGTTCCAGCACGCAAACCATCACGGCTCCAGACGTCGGCCGAGTGTGAATGGCGCAGTACCTAAACCACGAGATCATCTGTTTCAAAGCCGAAAGTAACCTAAATCATATCTCCATTTGACAACTTCTCGATAATGCCTCTCTCATCATTCTCATCTGAGTCCTCAACCTCTCTCTAACCATGCATCATCTCGCCTCCACAACCAAGAAACAAGTTGCTCCAATTGCATGCAGGAGCTTGCCCCACTAATTTCCAGTCATCTCTCACTCTATATTTACGACGCTACGTATACCTGCAACGAGGAAATTAAGTCATAATATACAAAGTTGGGGTCTTGGTTTATGGGGGACCGTTGCTCTAATGAGATAAACAACCTGAGGGCAAACAGGTGCCTGGGATGTGGAGCAAGAGGGGGAACAGGTCTCTGAAGACCATACTGGGTCTGATATTTTCGAGGAGTTTTCAACTCTGGATTTTTTGTGGGCGCCAAGACTATGATTTCGGCTAATAAGCCAGGAGGAATTCTTTTGTCAATGAGTCAACAGCACTCCCCAGCGCCCTGGACGGCACAAAAGAAGTTGGGCTAAGCTACCATACAGTAATCACGCTCTGTAAAGACTTTTCTGAAATTTCAGCACGACCTTCGGGAAGGAGTTGGAAGGAGGCCAGAAAGGCAGAGTGTGAATTCCCGGGGTACACATAAGTCTACAGCGCCCAGCTGGCCAGCCTCTCCTACCGCTTCAGAAGGGTCACTATGTCTTCAGATTTAGTCCTAATGTCGGTATTAGGAGAGCCCCGCACCCAGTTGTTTTTTGCGATTTTTCCCGGCTGCTATACACCCGTAAACGGCCATCATTTTGTTGGCTGGAGAGGGGAGATGATGAGGGGCAAAGAACTCCTCTTAGTGTATGATCGAATGAGGACTTGTGAGGGGTGGTACTATTTGAGGGGAGCTGTATGGGAGGCATAGGAGGGGATATACTACTGGTATAGGTATCCTTGGCCAGTAGGCAGAGAGGACCTGTATGTCCTACATAGTCATAGATTCAGACAGGACAATAAAATGAATTAAAAAAAAGCCACTAGGTGTCATGTGGAGTAGTGGGTGTGATTAGTGCATTGGAGACGGGTGGAGAGAAGATTAATCTTATCAGGAACTGAGTTGAAATAGATCACAGGTGAGTTATTAATTCGAGAGACATCAATTTCTAACATTTCTTGCTATTTGTACTAGAATCTCTTCATATGATTCTAATTGTTTATGGAAATTTCTCCTTCACTGATAGCTGCAACTTTTCTGACCCCAAAATCCTCGGGGATTCCGATCCTGTATATCTTCTGTTTTTAAACTGCACTCCATGGTTTTGGCTGTCCAAAGTGTCGTAATCCTCCCATCTCATATTCTTTTGGTTTAGTTTGAGACTGGGACCACAGTCCTGAAGTCTGCCCCTCTAATCAAACCGACCTGCCCACCCAAATATTTTGCTACTTAAGAACATGAATATCCTCTACATTTCAAGCACATTGTTACTTCAATTCATTTCAAGCTCGAGGGTCGTTTCACATACTTCTAAACCAAAGTTACATTACTTGAAAATCAGCATTAAAACTTCAAATCTCAGTCCAAGAAGATGTATTCAAAACTCGCTATAGTCAATGCAGTCATTGCAATTTCTCAATTAGCATCAGCTGGACATTATATGTGTTATAACGGACAATACTTTACTGAAGAATATGTGAACACTATTGCCAATAAGTGTTTTGGTGTCAGTGAAGGATCAGTCGGCGGCTATCCAATGGGATACGAAAACCTGCAGCAAAATATGCGTGGCAACTCATTCCGCAAGTTTCCTCTACTTTTAAGTGGTGTTGAATGGAACGGTAGGAGCTCCACCCAAATTCATGTATTGAAACTTACCAATTTTTAGGGGGAGATTTTCAATATTTTGTTGCCAGTAACGGTGCTAGTGAATCAAAAAAGGTTTTTCATAAGAGTAGCAGATTAGACGAATTATGCCCATATAGAAGGTAGTGGAAATATGTGAAGCTACTTGTATCAAATCAAATAGAGTGCTGCCTGGTTAACGGCGAGTTAGATACAATGCAAATTAGAGCTGAAATTTAAACCTCTTTGCACGCTTGACCTAAACTACAGCTTTGCACAGTGATAAAGACATGCTCTGTTAATATTTCCTGTTACTGAGATTCACAGACTTGCATCATTAGTCATCATAATTTTAAGGGTTTAATGAATTCAGATGTACTTGAAAGACAATAACTCGATAGGAATTAATAACTTCTTCTGTGGGAAGACTATCTACCATGTACCCTCCCATCTGTTATATGATCTGTGTAGACTAGCCTTGAATCCCTCCATTGGCCACCTGAGAATAGTCCTTTCTCTCCGGCTCCTTTCCTTGTCCACTCGAGAATCATCCGTTCTCCCCGGCTCGTCTATTCTCCTGTACCATACTTCCTATTTGGTACGTGCCATCCTTGATACCTCCTCAGCGCCCCATACACATTTCCGTGAGCGTTGCTCTGCCACAGCCTAAACTCAAAGACGGAGTAGTCCTAGTGACCAGTGCCAATCCGGGCAAAGCCCTTCACAGTAATAGAGCCTAGGCGGGTGTCAGGAGGCCTGGGAAAATGTCCTGTGGCAGGTGGAGAGAATTTCCGGGTATTAATAGCCTATTAGACACTCATGATTCTTCTTCGTGCATCAGTCCCAAGAGGTTATTGTTGTGATGCGTTTATCGCAGTTAATCTAAATGTATCTCTGCTTAGTGTCTGGGATACAGGACATCTATACAATTACTGCGTAGCACTATATGTGTCAAGGAAACAAGGCGTTCAGGCAAAGCAGTAATATGATATATGGACATGTCTAAATGCACGCTAACGCGTCCGTAAATAATTATTAGTTTCATAGTACTAGGTTCTTTCCTCTTTGTAGACAATCTAATTCACCAGATCAGACATCGTCGGTAATCATCCACCTCACTCCCTACAGTGACAATATGGCCATCATTACGACCGTCTATTGCGGCGCAGCTCTGCACAATGGCATAGAGAGATATTGGATAGTATAGCATGGAATTGAGATTGTAGCGCTTCCTGCATAAACGGTGGTATACTGTGTAGGGTGTGACAGTTCGAATATAGAAAGCGAATGGGCATTTATATGATTGAAAGGTAAAGCTATAATTCATCTATGTAGAAGCAAACTACCTGCAGGTCTACTCTACTACTTATACACATCCAGAGGTATCTAAATCTAGCCTACGGTTACAGTGGCAATGAAACTGACTTAAGGTTTGTTCTGCCACACAGGTAACGCTTTCGACACTCTTGGCACTATCCTTTACGTAGCCTCAGTGGCGATCTCGTATCAGTTTTCGTCTGCTGATAATCCTCGGAGTTATAAAGAATAAAGGTTGCCTTCGATAGCCATCAGAGGCTACAGGACTTATCGGCTCACAAGCCGTCACATAGGGGGTGCCAATTATGTATAAGTAGATCTAATTTACCACCATGATATGTAGACATAATACCGCCAAGCTACTTATCATTCCTTTCCTACTGGAGGACAAAGGCTGAACACCTATCAGTGGTATCCTCTACAAAGCTGGGGGTGAAAATTCTCCCGGAGCCGAGATTTAGCCATGAACAAAGATGGGATGTATTATATTCGATGGTCTGCTGTTGTGGTTATGAGCTGTGAGGTATATAGCAATTATGTCTCTGCTGTCTGTCGGTGGAATTACACGGGCTCATGTGCAATGGTGAGTCGCGGAGATGGCGCGCTCACGCTGGGTAATGGCACGATGGACACTGAGTGCGTATCACTGTGGCCAAATGGGTGTCAGTAGGTATCAAATGTGAACTCTTACTGACAATGGTGATCTATGAAGGTGATGCTAGATGTGCATCCCGACAATTGATAATATCATCTAATGGATGATGTGAAGTATGATATTATTTTGAATAGATTAATTCACTAAACTCGGCAGGTGAGGAGATTGTAGAGTAAATGAACAGCGTCTGTGCACCAGCCTGTATTTTCCACCCTTTCCTAATCCAGCAGCCCATCCTCCGTTCCCCTGTCTCCTAACAACTCAACCGAGCCAGCACAACATCTTCGGCTTGAAAGAGTTTTACTCGGTATTTCGGTTGAAATTCGAGTTGATAGAAATTCGAACAAAAACTCATCTACACAAAACACCTCCCTTCGAATACCCTTCGTCCCAAAAACTCCTCATATATTTGCGGCGAAGCATTTCTCAGTCGATCCTACACCTGCGACCCATCTCTATACTCGCTACACCGCTTACCTACACACGCCTTAATGAGGAAAGAATGGGAATACACACCGATTGTATCACACAGATCCCCAATGCCGAAAACAAGCCAACGGTACAATATGAAGGGGCAAGATTAGAGAAACAATAAGATCCGGAACGACATTCACATTTGCCAGTGAGCCAGTAATGGGGATCCCACTATCAAACGAAGGAAGCCCCCGATTAAAATGGAAAAGAAAAGTTGTCTTAAAATAGACTGTTCTACATTGTTGGAGATTCAAATAGAACATAAATGGATAGATATATTTACATTTCGGAGTCAATGAGGATGTCAAGGTGTAGTGCTGGCTCGCTTGAGCTTTTAGGAGACAAGGGAATGGAGGATGCGCTGCTGTAATAGGAAAGGCTGGTGCCCAGACACTGTTCATGTGCTCTACAATCTCTACATCTGTCGAGTTTAGTGAGGGTGTGTGTGTTTGTTTATTGTACTATTTGAGTCTATGATAATCTAGCATATTGAGCTCCTCTCTGACCCAGGCCACACCTTGTACAGTGCTCCTTGCCTCTCATGTTTCTTGAAAGATCATTGATAAATTCCCCTTGGTGAATAGCCATTCAGCCCAGTATTTACCCATGGAATTTGTTAGAAATTCTGACTCTCAAATTTAGGACTCAACCATTATCTGTTTCGTCTCAGGTTCCCAACAAGATCGACTCTCTCTACACATTTCCCGAGTGCGCTTATCGCGCCTACTGTCGCATATATGTTTGGATATTTACGTAATACAGTTTACTTTGGCTCATCATGGTAGATGAGAGGTGGCTGGTCATCACTAGGTTTGACAGGCACATGAGACTAGCGGGGATTTCTCCCTTAGATTTATATATAAGTCCAATGTTCCCATAATTATAAAATATGAAGTCTTCTTTACTTCATCATATATCCATATAATATTGTACAGAGTATATTTCCCAACAAGTAGTGCTGCATAAACTTGTTGCAGTATCCTTTGTTTGTTGTGAACTTTGTGTTGATCAAATTTCTGATGGCAGTCTCATATGGTGTGGCCGCGCCTTCCTCTCGAGTCGTCGCTATTGTGTCAAATATCTGCTTTGCTGACATTTGCCGAAAATTCTGAGGACGAATGCTTGGACTTAGCCATTGGACCTGGAAATATCTCGCTTCAATTTCTCCCTCTCTCCACCTTGCAAGTTCCTCTGCGTACTTTGCCGAGGTCTTGCAAAACCTGTTGTTGGTTTGATTTTCTCCCCTGATTGGTTCACTAGGTCAAAGTGCCGGTTGAATTTGCTCGAAGTTGTGAAATACATGGGCTAACCAGCCTTTCTTGATCAGGGCCGCCTGGAGATCCGATTCCCAGTCCGCAAAGCTAACTCCAGGGGTCAAAACAATTGCTGAGCTTTTATTCATATTGTAAGGTGGTATATATCTTTGGAGAAGTTAGGATGACTGGTTTAAAGCATTATCGAGGTGCCACAGAGAAGAACTCCGGGCTCACAACCTGTTATATTAACTAGGCTATATAGGAGCAGGACAATAGATACTCTTGGGGAAGATGTACTCACAGTTAGTCTCGTTAATCGCTGTTGCTTGTTTTCTCGTGATTTGTAAGACTTGAATATATATTCTCGTATAAAGGAAACTTAGTAACAATGAATGGAAGGAGGTTGAAGCCTCTTTTTATTTTGCTCCAGTCTTACTGTGTTCTTCACAGCCTAGTGCTAGAACATTCCCTTGTGATATCATTTCTCTCCTACGAGAATTGACCAGCTCGTTCTCCCCAAGTCTCAGTCTCTCGCTGATTCCATTATCTCTATCAATCTCTGCATTCACATATCCACTTACTCTTATATTATCTTTCTCCATTTATTACATCTCATAGAAACAAAATCCCATTCTCCTGTAATTCACACTGGCTCCCATAAGAACGACTGACACTCGGGAGAAACCTACTTTAACCCAGGTTCTCCACAAAACTCAACTCAAAACAGCATCAAAACCGAAAATTACGAACCCGATTTCCCACCCTTCAGCACGTGCTCAGTCCGCAATGGGCGATGAGACCGCCTAAACCCAGATTAGAATGATGGATCTGGACAACCCCGAAAACAACATTGAAATGTGTAGCCCAGTCGCTACTCTCGACTACGACGACCCTCTCGAGAGCAGCTCCCTCGCAAGCGCTTTTGCTAAAAACGTCCAGACCGCAACCTCCTGCGTCAAAGACGCAGAGAACCTGTTCGGCAACATAGTCCACACTATTGATTAGTAGTGCAATGATCTTACACAGAGTAGCCTACCAGAGAACCAACGAAAGGCCCTGCTTTTATTCCTCACAGATCTCTCGAATGTTGCTGAAAGCCACTTTTCGACCTACATCAGCGGGATAATTTTGGAGCCCACAGTAACAGCCCCAGGCGAGAACGAAAGAAGAATATCCTCTCAACTCGCTACCACAATTCACACCTACGCTGGAGCAGCACACCGCGCAGCGCGGGCGCCCCCGCCACAAACCAAATCGACTAGAGATAGCCAGACCTTGCAGAAAAACTCTACACATCCAAGGGCAACCAAGAAACAACACCAACGCCCAGACGATAGGTTGTTCGTCCGCATACCAGAATGAGACAAACGTAGGAGTCTTTCTGCGTACGCAATCCAGAAACATCTGAAATCAAAGCAGGGACCTAGCGGCCCGCTCTTGACCAA